GTTTAGTCTGCATTTATCCTACTGGTTGTAAAAAAAAAAACATCCTGAGCTTTCTACACTCTTATTGGTTGTGTTATGAAGTTTACACACTAACCGCTCAAGTGTACAGTTTGCGTGACAGTACACAAACATTAATTATACACAAAAAGTGGAAACTAATTTTTGATACTTGAACTTTATTCAGCTGGATTTGCAATGGAATGGAATTTCTCAGAATTATTCTAATAAATGCGAAAGACTAAGTCCTAATGGCAATGCTATTTAAATAAATGCAGCGTAAATATCGAGTTTGAAGGATTTAGGTAAAAAGAATTTTGCACTCGGATGTAATTATAGTAAATTGGAGTATTGCCTTTAGCTTGCATAAACTGTCAAATTTTTTGCATTTTTCTTTTTGAAAATCTTTTGTCATTATTCTTTTGCTGACTGTATATTATTATTATTATTATTATTTATTCAAAATAACCTCCAACAAGGAGAAGCAAAGAAATACAATCAAAACAATGCAATTGAATTAAAAATTATCTTGAATTATTAGAAACAGGCATAAAATTCGGACATAACACTCACTAACCTTAAACACATTAAAAATGCATTTACAGAAGTAATTGCAAGAAACAAGGAAATCACATTTCACTTAATAGAGTCATTACTTCAAGGTTCAAGTTAATTTTACTATGGATGGATATTATTAGCCAGAATTATGAATATACTTTTTTGTAGTTTTAGTTGTAGAAGGAAATAAGTGGCTGCTGTTCCAATAGAAGCGAAGATGGAATAAGTAGGAGCCATGTTGCATAATGATGTATATAGGAATTGATGGGAATTGTATTTGCTAAACATTTTGAAGGGGCTGAGAGCAACTTAGCTCAATCGGCTAATCTGGTGGTAGCCACTGTGTGTGCGCTGAACCGTGGAGATCTCTAGGTCCCCGGTTCAATTCCCATTGCTGCCTCTCCTTGTGTTTCAACTAGAGGGCTGAAATACAAGTTACAATTAGCGCACCGTCTTTCGGATGAGACGTTTAAGCCGTTGGTCCTGTGTGCATTATGGCCCATGTGCACGTTAAAAAATGCAGAACACTGTTCAGAAAAGAGTAGGCGATTGTCTCCCGGTGTACTGCCCAATCACCACCAGAAGGACCACACTGGAAATAAGTTTTCTTCTAGACTTTCGTGGGCTATCCATGGTGTTTACACCGAATAAATCCAATCCAATCCAAGGTCCTTTTTGTGGATAGAGATAAGACCCTTAAGAATAATTATATTTCTTTTAACTGAAGACACATCACTGTAGAAGCCTTACAAGTTAGTTAAGATAGTTTAGTGTAAGAAGCTTAAGCCACTGTGTCTTATTGTTTCCTTTCATCTTTAAATTGCCATTATTTTACTATACCACCAGTCTTTAAATATGATCAGTGCTAGTGTAGGGTCCAAAAAGGGAGCCAATTCCGTGAGATATCTTAACAGTACACGTCTAATTTTATTCGGTGTGCACGGTAATAGCAATCGGCACTGACGCCCGGGAGACAATTGATAATACAGTTAGTGAAAACATGCAAATATCGTGAATTTGCGGAGATGAGTTATTTTCCGGGAGATTGTTCTTGGGTGTGCAGGAGGCCTTCCCAATTTCCCAGAGATCTGCAACTTGTGGGAGACTTTGGGACCCCTGTTACAGGTTGTCAGGGGGCGGATCCAGTAGGGGGCATGGGGCACGTTCCCCTGTTTTGCCACTAAATTTTAAAATTTCAAGGCATATATTAAAGATAGCGCTCTCACTTATCTATTCTGATATTTTGTGTCACCCCCGTTTTAAAAATTCTGGATCTGCCCCTGGTTGTGCGATTCATGAGGTATTCTGATAACATCCTCTTATTAGAAATATGTTGTTGGCCTAGTTTTTTTTTAAAATTTTTTTTGTGTTGACAAAAATGTATCCAAAGAAAGTATGTTTGTTATTTTAACAGTTACATTGTTTGTATCAAGTTTTTCGAAATATCAAAGTACTTTTGAAATTAACAATCATTTGTGTGCACACGTACATCCCTCTTAAAAAACTTGCTCGGCGCTGGGATAGAGGCAATCATCAACTATCATGTGTGAATTAAAACACAAACCTGTTTAACTCTTAGTGGTTATTGTCCAGAAGGTGTCGATGCATATCCATAATTACTTGCAGTAATTGTTACTTCGTACCATGCACGAGCCTTAAAGAGAAGTTTATTGCCAATGGGGTAATTAACGTTTCACAACTTAGCATCGCATGTCGTTGTTTGATTAGATTTCGTAATCGTTGGTTAGCGTGATAATCTCCTGCGACTTTGATGGTCTGACATTTTGGTATTCATGGTGATTGTTTAAATAGAGTGTTCGTGTTTCGAGATGTGCGTTGCATATCGTTATTCCATTATAGTGATCTTGGTGTAGGAGGTGTGGTGATCCTATCTTGTAACATTTGATAATTTGTTCTGACCTAATAATGTTCTTGAAAAGCGACTTTTTAATTGCAACATTTTAATTCACTGCTAGATGAACCTGAAACATTTTAAGGCATGAACTGGTAAAGACAGAAACATATTTGATTTGGTTTTTATTAAATATTTCACTTTAAATTTTTTTTGTCCTATTTAAAGTGTTATAACATTGATTTTTCACCTGAACAAAACATTGTTTTTTCCTTACTACTTTTATTTAGTTTCCTTTGTAACTTGTTTTTTCTTTGTGTTATATTTTCTCAGTTTATTAAATTTGTAATGAGTTTTTTTTCAAGATTCTGTTTTTGCTGCAATTACAATTTGATTCCATTCATTAAATTGTGAATTAGCAGATTTTAATCTTTAGAATTTCATCTACTGCCTTTAATCATATAAATACAAGTTCATTTTTCCAAAAATCAGTAATTCAATTCAGTTTTTTTCCTTATGTTTTTAGTATTCATATGCAGAATTCATACCGGACAAACCTATCCTTTTGAAGGTGCGCTGGAATAATGATTTCATGATTGATAATCCATATAATGTTACAGGTGAGGTTTTATCTTGTCTCTCTGACCTACTTTTTATTTAGTTTTCTGACATTCAAGGACATAATTGAAATTTTTGGTCTGTCCCACTTCCTCTCTGCTTCTTCCCTTTATCTTCCCAGCAGCTGATGATCAAACTAATATTATTATTAAAATTATTGAGATTAATGTAATAAAATTTCCATATGTTTTTAATCTTGCTTAATATATAATGTTTTAGCCCAAGTGTTTAGGTGGTATATAGATGCAGATAGTTCTGAATGTAACAGTGTTTAAAAAAAAAACACCGGAATTTAACATTATATAATGCTTTTCTTTAATGCGAAATCACCTTCATAATATATAAATCAAAATAAATTTTATGTCTAACTTTCATACTAATTTTCTGCCTCGAGAAGACAAATTTTACTTGTATTTTATGTACTAGTGACAATAAAAGAATCTTGTATCTTGTACAAATTTTGGAGGATATACCTTAAACACTGTGCTCACGTGTTATTTGTATGGTTCTTAACAAGGGGCGTACAAATGAGTAGATCAATTCTAGACTCATGACAAACTGCACAAATCCAAACAGGTGCATTGTACTATTTCAACCTTATTAAACTTTGTTTTTCAACACTAGTCACCCTGTACAAGTGCAAGGTTAACAGGACCACATGTGGAAAGTGCCTTCTTGCAGACAGCAAATACGATTGCGGATGGTGCGAACAGAACTCGTGTCAATTCAGAGATCACTGTGTAAGTGCAGCAGAGTTCCTGAGTGGAAACGTGGTCTGTCCTGATCCAAGAATTAAAAGTGTAAGTGCTATATTCATTATTTTAAAATTTAAATTTTATTTAACCTATTAGAACATGTCCCAATAACAGGAAAAATGGTTTATACCTGTAGATAAAAAAAAAAAAACATCATCATAATTTGACAAAATGCTTTCAATGATTTTATACCATCAACCTTCTGTTGCAGACAGGATGGTTGAGGTTTTGTTAGTTATTTTTTCCAGTTTTTCTTAGCCATATTAATCTTGGTCTTTTTTGTTCACTTTAATTTTTGCTAAACATTTATTATCATGAAAGTTGGTGGAGAATTGTGTGTTCATACGATAACAACTATCATCTTCTAATTCACCTCAGATAGCTCTGTATTTCCAACTTCATTTGTCCGTTAAATATGTAACATTTTCTTAATGGTTTCCTGTAAATTGCATTTATATTTAAGTACCCTAGTAAATGTCAAATGTTAGCTTTATGCAAAGAAAAATACTCCCGGTATATGCATTAAATAGTATTAATTTGATGCCAGTAGATGGGTACATTAAAAAAAGTAGCATCTTCCTCCTCATACTCCTTGTCACTTTCTTTATCACATTGTCTTTATAATATTCATCTTGATCATAACTATTAGGAATATCTCCTTGGTTATGAAGTAGGTATTGTTTATGACAGTATATTAAGTTAACAGTATCTTAACACTAATTACATAAATACGTTCGCACGCAACCACCTTTACCACGGAGACTTCAAGTGATGTTTACTGAGGAATGTAAATGAGCTTTTGCACGGTAGACATACTGTACATTCACTTGGAGATTCCACGGTAGCTGTGAATGCATGTGAATATACAGTGGCATGATTAGTCTTAAAGTGCTGTACTTATGTGTCATTATTGTGTAAATATTAAATGATATCCCTATTAAAATAATATAAAAGAATATCGTATGTTCAGAAACAATAATTAACACCTGTATGTTTGCTTTGGAACTTGAATTAAAAGGTCCTTAAGAAGAATTTCAGCTCTTGACATAAAAATTATCTGTCCTTTCTTTAAAGTTTTAGTTTGACTAGTTTGGATTTGCCCATATATATTCTTTATGTATTTTTTAAGAGTGGATGAAGCTTAATGCTGACAAGTGCATGAAGAATAACAACTATCATAGATATAGTAAGCAATTTATTGTATAAATTGGCAGGTAACTATAACTTTATATTCAGGAGGTTGAACGATTAATTTTTTATTATGTTTTCACCTACAGTTTAGCCCCCTGAAAGGACCGATTGAAGGAGGAACTCGTTTAGTTATCAAAGGCGAGAATCTCGGACTGTCATTCAACGATACGCAGAGCATCACAGTTGCCGATGTGGAGTGTGTACCGGAGGAGGAGGGATATATACCATCAGAGCAGTAAGTGTTGAGCAGTACAGTATGTGTATGTTGCTATGATGTGGAGGAATGCTTTATATTATAAAGATGGTGTTACTTCTAGTGAAGGTTATGTCATGACAATGGTAATGAGTTCCAAAATTTTGGGACAGCGACGAAGATAATATGTGAACGAAAGCTTGTGTGTGGAAGTGGAAGTTAAAATGACTGTCTAGTTGAATAATTGTGGATTTGAAAGTTCTTGTGAAATGCGTTGGCAATTAAAGGCAGAACTGAGAAAGAATGAACTAAAAGCATAAAGCAACAGACATTAAAATATAATTAACAATCATAAATGTTAAGCAATTGTAAGTTGAAAAAGAGATAGCTGTATGGTGATGCAATTCATTTCATCAATCATTCACTCATTAGGCTAGATCAATTAGTTAGTAATTGAATCAGCTAGTTAAAGAGATATACCAAAACCATTTTTCATGTTAATCACCAAAAATCATTATCATTATTATCAAGACAACTAGTATATTAAAAAATGCACATAAACATTGTAATATAAATTATTGATTTAGATGAAACGTTTTTGTTTGTTTAGGTTGCAATGTACCCTGAGCAACACGGAGGCCAGTAAGAGTGGAAAAGTTAAGGTCACGATTAGCAAAGGAGAAACATATTCAACAACCTCTGAAACAAACTATGCATTTGTGGTAGGTGTACTTGAGTCAAGGCTATTGCAATTCCCCGCCCATTTCCTCCATTCAATCTATATAAACTGTACGTCATGAGCACCACTAACTGCACCATCTAAACCCCTCTCTTCAAGCCTTCACAGATATGGACATAAAACTAAAGGCGCTGGGGTGTACACATCTGATTTATGTTCACTAACCCATTGCATCTTTCAAGGGTCCCGGATTATCCTGATGCTCTGGTTCATTTCAGCCCCGCATCCCACACCCCTCTCACTGTGGAATGAGAATATAAAGCAACTTAGCACCTGTCCAGGGCTTACAATAGTCACGGACCATGCCAGTACATAATTGAGTAGCAAAGATGCTGCAACTTATGTGTTATTTTCCTCTTCTCTTGTGGGAGCTCCTTTAGCCTAGATTATATCTGAAATTAAAGTACTACGTCTCTTCTGGTTTTACTTTTCATTAAGATGCTGTTGACATGGCCTTTGTGCATGTTAAGAATTCACAGTACACAGTTTTCAATTCAATTTCAATTTAATAAGCAGTTTATTTCCACATTAACACAAACATAAATATAAATGTACAGAGAAATAGATCAGTAACAATAATAATTGATAGAATATATCAGAACATTTTTGGGAAAAAAGCAAGAGATTTTCAGCTAACAGAAAGCCAATATTTAATGTTGTTTCTGATAATACTTGAAAGTCATACCCTGGGCCTTTGCCACAGGAAAGGCAGGTACATAAAATTGGGCTTATACCAGAAGTGGCCTTACCTAAGGAGCTACGATACTAATTCTTTAACTTCACTTTTTATTATACTGATCCTATACATATAATCTATTAATCAGTTTTGTCTTTTGTTTAATTTTTTGCACTTAGGTTCCAGCAGTGAACAAGATCAGTCCAGACCTGGGTCCTAAGTCTGGAGGAACGAATGTTGTTTTAGAGGGACAACATCTAGATGCTGGCTCCACTGTCAATGTTACCATCGCTGATCACCAGTGTCTGAATATTGAGTAAGAATATGATTCTTCTCTTTAATTCAGTTACCATATTTGGTATTTAAGTGTGTTATGTGGGTAATTCCGGCTCAATTGCCCAAAATGCCCCGAAGCATTGTGCACTTTTTTGGGGGGCACATAACACACAAAATATAAAATAAAATATAAAATAAAATATAAAATAAAATATGCTACCCAACTTTCAATGGTATTTCTTGAAAGAGGGGTAAAATTTCAGTCTATGTAGCAATTTTCAACTTTTTATCTTCGTTATTTCCGGAGATATAAAAACTGTACAAAGTCAAAGGAGGCTTTTCCGGCATGAAAAAGGGGGCGTGGTACCTAAATTTCAAAATATCATAACTTAAAAACTGCTTGGAAATTGAAGATGAAATTTTGGAATTCTTTCTTTTGACATATCAAGGTATTTTTAGAATTTTTTTCAGGAAAATCCAACACATGGGCTTGGTGGTTGATTTGAGCCGGAATGACATGTGTTAAATTCAGAGTTTAAAGACACCCTGATTGATCATGTACATGAATACAGTAACTTCCAATAGTTCAAATTTATTTTAATTATTTCTGTAGATCCTGTATCTCAATGGTTATTCACTTTTATGATTTCAACCATTTTTAAACAAAATATTGCTGGTTTTCCTCTTTAGATACAAAACCATTTTACCTATATCTTATAGTCAGACTTATAAATAAATAAAATAAATAGACAAAAAAAAAAAAAAAAATTAAAAGCTTTGCTGTTATCAACTGTGTTTTCAAACTACCTTTGTAAATATCAATTAAAGGCATTTTTTTTTAGCAGGTGCCACTAAAAATAGTATTTGAAAATTGAAAGTTTATTTCCTCATGCAGTACTTCAGAATGATCATTTATGTATATCAGTAGCATCTGGAAATATAATTCAAAGGTTATTTTGAAGTAAACATTCATTAATGTGATTGTATAGGAGGAAGGATGATGGCACGATTCATTGCACAACATCTCCGGTTAGCAACCTGACAACCGGTGGCGTGCTCTTGATGATTGAATTTGTGTTGTCTCCTCAGGGAAAGTTCCTTGGAAAGCTTAAGGCAATCCTTGGCAATAATCTTGAGTTTGTTTTGAAACTCAGATATAGGAAGGTCTCTTTTTAGCCTTCTAGTCCTAAAGTGAATATATATATATATATATATATATATATAATCTGATTTAATTACCATTTTGTAAGACAGGTTTAGGGATTGTATTGGAAAATGCCTTCCTGAAAAATGAGAGCTCTCTCATAAAGTAAACATGTTAAAAATTATTTGTATTTATTTTTTACATTTTTTATTTATTTCTTAAAAATTCAACAGCAAGTACTTCATAGTAAAACTTAATTTGATCATGGCATAAATATAAAAACAATGTACAATGAATAAAAAATATATATGAAATAATTTACAGATGTATAAATAATTATTAAGAATGATTTTTAACAGTTTTTAAGAACAAGATACCAAAACTTGTAAAAACATTTAATATAAAGAAGAATCATCAATCTGGACAGTCTTAAAAAATATATTTTTCCTCTGTTTAGGGCTAATAAACCAAGGACTTTTAACTGTTACCAGGATAGGAAGCTGGCTGGTTTAAGCCATCTAACTTGAATTAGCATTATGTGTGGTATTGTTATGCTAATTTGCATGCCAAGTGAAATTAGTACCCTTATTTTGCTTTGTTTCACCGCCTACCTGTACACCTAGCTGATACGCAGTGTGGCCAAGGAAAGTTTTGTTTTTCTGAGAATGTGCAGCTTGTGCTTATCTTGTTCATTAGCATAATGACACCACACATAAGACAAATTCAAGTTGGCTTAAACCAGCCAGCTTCCTATTCTGGTAACAGTTAAAAGTCCTTGAATAAACAGTCTTCTTAATATGAGATTTGCCTTTCATATGGGTGTCATAAAGAATGCGTAGTTAGATTTATGTAGCCCTCTATACTTAAACGCTCTTAAAGCCCTCGAGTTGTGGACTATCTCTTACAGTAACTTGCTTCTCCCCTAAGGGTCTCTTCATTTTTTAGCTACAGTACCTGGTAAACTGGTACCAACTAATCCTGTCTGTCCACAACACCGATATTAATGCTGTAGGTTGCGGCACCCCTGCCTTGACCGCTCGACCATCCAACTTGCCAACAGAGGCTATACCATCTTCTGATAATTATTTGTGTATCTGTCTCTGTGATTAGTTTGTCGTTGATACGTATTGGTTGTTTTCGCAGGAGTGTATGAATGCAACTATGGATTCAATGACATGCAAAGCCCCCGACATCTTTAGCAAGTTTCCCTCGGAAGGTGATTTCATGGAGGTTCCCCATTACGGATTCATACTTGATGGTGTTGATACGTACCGGAATGGTGTGGAGAAATTCTCGAACTTTAAGTATTTTGTGAACCCTATTTATACTGGTCTGGCAAACAATGAGTACAAGAAAGATGGTTTAAGCTATGTGACCATAAAGGTATGTATCGTTTATTACATGTATAATTATAAAAGTAGCCTATTGTTAGTTGTTTTTGGACTAAGAGAAGTATATTTTTTTGCATGTATCCCATAGTAATTGCTTTTGATCTTGTCATTTTCTTCATACTGTATTTTGCTGGTTTCAGATCTGATGGGTTTCATTAATGCTGTATTATGTTCTCGTTTCTGTCATTTTTGTTGGGGACCTCTACAGAAACAAGCCACATGGCTTATAGAGCTATCCCCTGCATTCATTTCTTTTTTTATTCTGTTCACTAAATTTTGTAGTTGCCTTTTTTTATTAATTGTATTTTGATGCATTGGAGTGCAATAATTATTACAAACAACAAACAATACAAAAAAATATCGTGAATCAAGTGACCTTTCTGAATTTCCTGAGAGCATTCCACTACCTTAAATGCCATATTTATGTCTCATAGTGGTCTTTGGAGAGCATTTACACATTTTCATGCTGATCATTTATTGTGATGGTATATCTGATATGCATATCATGTGTGGCCACATTTGATCTTTGATAGGGTTGGTTAGTATTTGTTGTATTGTGTGTTGGCCAACTGTTGTTGTTAAGAAAATATAGATGCAGTTGTTTGTGTTTTATTTTAAGGGACAAAACAAAAGTAATTCTTTTTCAGAGCTTGTAAATCAATCTAAAGAAGGGTATAGCTAGTTTACTTTTATTACGAACCTCAATTCTTTTTTTATAAAAGGGTAAGAATCTGAACCTTGCTTCCACGAAAGATGATGTGAAAGTAAGGATTGGACAAGGGATGTGTGAAGTGACGGACTTAGGTAATACCCAGCTGACCTGTAATCCTCCGGACAAGCAGCCTTTAACCTTGGAAGGATTTGACAGTGACCCAGAGGTCATAGTAAGTAGCTGCTATGTGCTAGGTCACCACATTTATTGGTTGGTACCTAACTAATTGTTTAGTAATAAACAAGGATAGAATGGTACTGTCTGTTTAGCATTTAAATGGCAACAAAAATCAATATTTGAAAAATATATTTAAGAGATTTATTATCTTTTGATTTATTCCTTGCCAGTTAAGATGTACAATAATACAGTATTAGAATTTGTATATTAAAACTCTGTAAACAATGTAACGTTTTCAATATTTCAGCACAGAATATTTTCGTACGTTTTTTAATTACAGGACATGTTAATTTTATATTTTCAGGTTTACCATGGTAACTTGAATTTCAGCGTGGGAAATTTGAAGTATTATAAGTCGCCACTGCCTCTTCCCTTGGAAGTACTCATCTCAATAGGAGTGGTGTTCATTCTCCTAATTTTATTCTGCATAATTGGGTGCTGTGTCTATCGCAAGACAGGTAAAAGTGAGAAGAAGCTGAGACAGATCCAACAACAGTTTGACCAGCTTGAAATGCAAGTTGCTCAGGAATGCAAAGAAGGTATGCAAATGAATATGCAAATGAGATGAACACCTGATCTATTGCTGGGCTGATGATATTTTTCATAGTTAGATTGATTAATGGCTAGACCTACATTCTCGCCAATCACAAGATGATTTGAGATGATATATACATTTGTATATGAAACACAGAATTATTACCTAAATTATTATCTATTTATACCATTTTTATGATTTTATTTACTTTTGAAAAAATTAAGAATGTTAAATGTCAGGTTTTTTTAATGAGATTGGTTGATGTTTTATAGCCTTCGCTGAGCTCCAAATAGAAACTGAATTGCCAGGTAATGAGGAGGATGAAAACCAGGGAATTCCCTATCGAGAATTCCGCAACTTTATCCTACGTGTCCTCTTTCATGATCAGCTGGACCACCCGATTTTACGTGAGATGCCTGTGAGTATATTATTCCAAACATTAAAATTTTTTTTACTCAAAAAAACAGTTTTCCTGAGCTTTATATACACTGAGCTGATGTCATCGATTCAATGTTCCTGTTGGAAAATAGTGCTGTTTATGAATATTTGAATGCAATGACAGAGGATTGTGTGTACATAGCTTTGGGTCTGAAAATCATGTTTCCAATACTCAGCCCTGCTGTGGATCATCGTACGGGTCTAGCCTAGTTCTAGCCTGTAAAAACTCATCTTACTTTTTAGTTCTATCTCCCCCCCCCCCCCCCCCCCCCCCCTTTCACAAAAAAAGGTCTAAAAAAATGTTATTTTAATACCATTATTGTTAATTTACACAGTGTTATAAAGGCTGTGTTCAGACTTAATTAATGCTATACCATGGTGTAGTTAGCAAGATGTTCGCACTGAGCAATTAAAGTAATGCTAGCATAAGTATTAATGCGAAAAATAGAATTCCACAAGCATGCTTTTTAAAGGTAAGCTTTTTGTAATTGATCAAATCTGGGGTCTGTTGGTGATTTAGTGTACGCCAGTAATTAAATGTGTTGATACTGGTTTATTCACACCACTCGGTTAATGTTACGCTTGTTTACGCTGTTGTGTCTTAACATAGCCAAAATATATTTTGCCTTTTATTTTTCTTGCATTCTACTTTATTTACAGATAGTGACCCAAAACAGCATTATGCTGGCAAACCTTGCGTAAACATTACAATAATCACAAAAGCAGCAGAGTTATATAAAAAGAGAGTACTATACACTTCACATTTCAATGTTTAGACAAATTTCTAGAGACCATTAAACAATGCTCAATGCTTTAGAAAAGTATTTAATTGTATCCAACAAGCAAGAATTTGCTCACTAAATGTGGTGTGTTGTTTTCATCTACAGGAAAATGGTGTGCGATCAGAAAGAGTTGAGAACGGTCTGCAACAATTTGGCAGCCTAATCAACAATAAAACATTCTTGCTGTCATTTATACGGACACTCGAGAACCAGTCCTCCTTTACTATCAAAGATAAGAGCAATGTGGCATCCTTGCTGATTGTCGTGCTACAGAGTAAAATGGATTATGCCACGGACATTCTAAAAGTTTTATTAGCCGACCTTATAGAAAAAGGCGTTGAAGAGGACCGTGCAAGGTTATTAATGAGAAGGTATGGTAGTAATTGGAGAACATTGTATGAAAGTGAAGCACGCCCCGTTGTTGCTTTACCTACTGTATTATGCTTACACATGTATGTCGACACTACCTTGATAAATAATCCACAAAGTCTCACAGACTTATTTTTAACTTACATACTACTACCATTTCCCTTACATCTGTGTCTATAATAATAATAATAATAATAATCATAATAATGTTAGACTTACATAGCGCTTCACATTATTACCCCGGGGCATTGGATCAACCACATGTGGAACACATACACAGTTCCCAGGGGAGAATTCTGTGCATTCCCTGGAAGGCATGAAAGTAATGGTTATTATTTTATTACAGAAATGAGTCTGTTGCTGAAAAGTTTGTCAGTAATTGGCTGAGCTTCCTGTTGCACAGTTACCTGCAGGAATCGGCTGCAACTCCATTGTACCGATTGTTCCGTGCAATTAAGATACACATAGAGCGCGGCCCGGTAGATGCAGTCACGGCCGATGCCAGGTACTCCTTAAACGAGGGCAAACTTATCCGCGAAATCCTTGATTATGAAACCCTGGTAAGATTGTGTTGATTTTTGCCCACTTTTACTTTTAAAATAAAAGGAAAGATATTTGCAAATAAAAAAGGGAATGTTGAAATGGAAAGGTCTAGTTTATGATTCTTTACTTTATAGCTGTTTCTAGCTAAAAATTTTTGCCTTCAATGTTTAGATACCCCAGCTAATTCTTATTCTTTATTGGCAATCAAATACAAAGCTGGATGGGAGGGCCTGGTAAACTTAATTACTATAACATTGTGTCAGAGAACCATTCCAGTCCAGTAATTACCAAACAAATATATATTATTAAAATTTTATATATACAGTACAAAAAAATAAAACACATGTAAACGTTGGGCTAAAATTACTAAAAAAAAATTCAGTGAAATTAAAAAAGAACAGCAACAAGGAATAAAAGTATTAATGAAGGAGCTCACTTCCTATGTTTCAAGCTTAGGTGCAAGTATTTTGATGGCTTATAAAGGAAAAATATTGAAATAAACATAAAATAATAAAATGTAACTTGTTACCTAGTAGTGGCTTCTGGGATCTTGAAAGCAAATATGAAAAAAAAAAAACCAAAGAATATTTTTGTATACTCAGTGTTTCTTAAAACAGTACATGACTTCAATAATTTACACATTTTCAATTATATATTTATTTTACAGACAATTATTGCAATAGGATTGGACCCAAGCAAGGATCCAATAGAAGTCAAGGTTCTCAGCATCGATACAATTATGCAGGCTAAAGAGAAAATAATGGACGCCCTCTACAAAAACGTGCCATACAGTGCCAGACCCTCCCCAGACTCTGTTGAATTGGGTTAGTTGATTTGTTCTATGTACTATGCATTAAAAAAATATATTTCTATTCATATATTCATTTTCTTCCTTACCTTATCTTATTTTCACACATGTATTTTACCATTGATTTATTATCAAACTTTAAACTTATAATAATAATATCAATATATATATAATTCTTCTGTTATTATGTTCTATTTAATAATAGTACAGTATACTATTTTTCAAAATCAAGGCATGACATTTTTCAACATATTAATAATTGATAATTTTGAAGGAATGTATTTTAAAACCAATAGAATATATGAATTTAGTATTTATGATAAAGAGAAACATATAAGGTTTTTTCCACATAAATTCTATCAACTTATATTTGCTTAATTCGGAATCGAATTTAATTATTATGTAAGGCGACTGATGAATTTCTATTTATTATACTTAAACTACATGTTAAACCCTGTTTCCAAGCTTGCATTTTTGTATCGATTTGCAACTTATACTTCCGACGATACTTGACAATATATCTTGCTTTTTGCCATTCCATATTCCATCATCAATATATAAAAAAAACCCCATGAACATATACATTATGCATACATGCCAGGGGAACATTTTAACCCCTGTTGAGAAATGGGGTAGTTTGGTTATCGGAAATGCAGACGTCTGCTTTCTGACAAGTTGTTGTGATAATTGTTGATAAGATTGATTGTTGTCATTGCATTTAAGTGCATTTTTCGCATACTGGCATCATGATTAATTTTTGAGCCAGCATCTAAAAGGCTAATTTTTTTTTTTTATCCTATGGGTACAGTACACCTATCCTTGCTTGTTGATTATTATGAATGACATTTTGCGTGTGGCTAGCGGCTAGTGTCGTTGTCGGTATTGATTGTTGTTGTTTTTCCTCCTTGTCTCCAGAGTGGAAAAACACATCAGGTCGGTTAACACTGCAAGATGAGGATGACTATACCAAGGGAGATGGAGAGTGGAAGCGTTTGAATACACTTAGCGTTTACGAAGTAAGCAAACTTATTAACGTTTTAATTTGTCCCGTGGGACTGTTTTCTTGTGTGCTAATATATTTTGACTGCAGTGCCTAACTTGATTTGAATGCATATATGATTGTTTTTATATTATTTAAATTTTATTTTGTTTATATATTTCATTTATATTTATTTGTAAAATCAATATTAAATATTATAATTATTTTGACCTTTTCCAATGGTTTCATCATTTGATATTTTAATTTATTAACCATTTGTCAAAGTGTACTGAAAACTAAATCAAATATAAATTTGCATATTCAATATGTTATTAGATTCCTACTGAATGCAATAGCGAGAAAACATTGTAGCAAATTAACAAATAATACCTTATCTAATTGCAATATGAACTTAAATTTAAGAATCCTCATAGTTAAAATTCTATACATCATTAAAAACTGGTTTTAATAAAACGTTGCCTCCGGAAATCTAAATGCAAATTGGATTTTATAATTGAAGTCTTGGGGATTAATTTGTACATTTATTTATCTGTTTGATGTAAGCAACTTCCAATCAATTCCAGAGGGCAAGCCTAAGAGTTGACATAAATACATCTTCATCATCATTCGCAATTTTATCGTCTGCTGGTATGGGTTCGACCAGAGTTCAAACTCACTGCAATATGTCATGGGTCAGATCATGGAGAATAGTACCTCATTCCTAGTCTTCCCTGGCCTAGCTCTCCCTCGAATAAAACCATAACGAATGTGGCTAACTTCAAAACATTTAATTACTAACTTTAAAATAATCGTTGCCGTCAGTTAGTTGATGCATGATGGATTGTACATTACCACACAAGTGGTATTTTGTACACTAACAGACAAGTCAAGACTACGATCAACACCAAAAGCTTGTGTGTGCTTCATGCAATTTTGTATCTGTTCGCTTGATGCATGTGCAGACCACTGGAGCCTTCGTTTCTGTATGCCTGTAGTCTTAAACACAGTTTCTATAACTCATATCTGTTTGCAACTATTATATTTAAAATATTTTGTCTTGCAGATTAGGGATCGTGCTTCAATTACCCTGATTAACAAACAGGGTTGCAACTCAACATTAAACCACCCAAGATACAGTAAGTGCTAAATCCAATCAGAATAATTAATTAATAATTGATAATAAATTTTAAAATTAATTTTGTGAATATTATAGCAGTATGTGGCACATAAGTAAGGCTGTAGGCTTTCAATCTAAAGATTCTGGGTTTTAATCTAAGGATGATCAGTAGTTTAAGCTCTGGGACATGGTTCTATTTATATACTGTACATGTTGTCTATCAACTCGAGAGTATAAATTGGTTCCTGGTAACAGTGAACAACAGCGGGCTCACTTTAATTAGTCTTAATTACAGTACTAGTATTGATTGCATTTTTACAAATGTCCTAATTACTAGTTGCAATAAATGCCTCTTTTCTAAATGTAATTCACACAAAGGCGCTAGCATGGTGTGCTATATAAATTATTTCAATTTTATTAATATTCATTTAATTTTTGTTTTGAGGTATTGTTTTCCAGATTTTTTGGGGGGTTAAACTTCCTTTTTGATTGTTTTCAGTTTTTGAGATTTTTTAAATGTTTATAATAATTGATTTTTTTCGTAATTAACTGTGACAGGTATTGCAAGGTGAGACTTGTTTTTGAGATATTTGTTTGTTTTTTTAAATTTTAATAGTGAACAGTCATGTATCAGCAAGTCCTAGTAGATCCATGTCTCCAATGCTGGGACAGTCTGACTCGGAGAGCAGCGTTAAAGTGTGTCATCTTGTCAAATATGGTGACAATGACAACCAGGAAGGTGATAGAGGAAACCGCATGGTTTCGGAAGTCTTCTTAACACGGTTAATATACACTAAGGTGAGACAGTACAATTTTGTTTATGATGCCATTAGTGTAATATTCATAATCGTTCCGGGCCGCAACTAACACATGTATTATGATATAACAGAAATTGATATGGTAGTTAGTTTATTTAGATGTACTGTGTAATACTTATACAGAACACCCTCTGTAAATATGGGGTAAACGATGATTTAAATAAATCATAGTCATTCCATATTGGTTAAATACAGTGCTTTACTTTATCGGAAAATATCTGTTTAAAAACAGTTGATTCAGACAAGAAACTGATAGTTGACTGTCCATGTCTGAAGTAGCCAGACATTAAATATTATGGAGCTATCGATTTGTGCAACGACGCGGCGCTAGAACGGAATCACTCATGCGTGACCGTCATACCTGGCATCCTACATTCTCTGAATATTAGATTTGGCCTACTCTATTCCAGGTGTTAAGAAGTTCCCAATATGGGGGTATACATAATTAAATAAATCATAGTTCATCCCATATCGTTTAAAAAACAGTGCTCTACTTTATTGGAAAATATCTGTTCAAACATTGTTGATTCAGACTAAAAACTGATAGTTGGATGTCCATGTCTGAAGTAGCCAGTCATTGAATATTATCTGTAATACAGCACCTATCTGATTCAGTTCCAGTTTTGAAGTAGTTCTCAATAGCTCTTTCTGTTGATAACCCTTAACCACTAAAGCAATTATTGTAGATAAGGTACCTTTTAATATTAAATTTCCCTATCGCCCTAAAGATTTTATTCACTTGATTAGTAGTATAGTCAAATACGTGCCTCTCACAAATGTGCCCCATTGATTCAATTCAAGGTTTGAAGTAGTCTCAAAAGCTCTTCCTTTTTGATAACCCTTGATTACTAAAGCAAATATTTTATGCTCTTCATATTGAACTTCCCTTATCACCCCAAAGATTTCATCCACTTAGCTACCTATAGAGTATTAACGATAAGTGACTGAATAAGTGCCTATTACAAAATGAATGAGCGCCACACTTGAGTAAAGCGCCCTATCAAATAAGTGCCACACTGATGCCCTTGTGATGCTTATAAAAAGATTTTTTTTTAAAAATGAAACAACAGTACATATTACTCAAATTGATTTGTACCTTAATATTTATTAAGTTTATTTTTTATCTACAACAGGGTGCGTTACAGAAATTTGTTGATGATTTATTTTCAACGATTTTAAATGTAGAGCGTGAGGCTTCAAATGTTCCCGTACCAATAAAATATTTGTTCGACTACTTTGATGACCAAGCAAAACAAAATGGTATTACTAACCCTGAAGTAGTACATGCCTGGAAAAGCAATAGGTAAGTGTATTATCCATGTAAAAAAAAAGAGAAAATCTCATGTGAATTCCCTGAAAATGAAAACTGACATGTTACCATAAGGCCGAAAAAAAAAAGTTCAGCTGTTTTGTTTTTTTTTGGGGGGTGGGGGGTAAAAACATTTATCTAAAATACTTTGTTCGTGAAAATTCGTGTTCGTAAAATTTTTGATTGTCTGACCCAGATCGACCGACCTGGATTTCCAAAATATGTCACTGTTTGCCAACACAACTAAATTTTTTATGTCAAATGGCCGAGCGGTTAGCAGGGGCACTGCAAGCTACAGCCATACCAGCACTGATTTGAACGGCACACTCGCCTATGGTTCTGTTGGTAGAACAAGTCTTCTCAGTTAAGGACTATATACCATAGGCCCAGTGTATACAATGGCTTGTGTGCACTATAAAGACCCCAGTACATCCTTCGATACGAATAGGGAGATACCCTGGTGTACTGGAACAGACATCCCCTGTGGTGAAAGACGAGAGTTGCTGGTACTGGGTTACGGGGTTGCACAGACAAGAATGAACCCTTAGGGGTGAAGAAAGTCATTGATCGAGTTGCTAGTCCACATATCAAGCGCCCTGAGCATCTTATAGTTGGATATGGCGCTATATAAAAATATGCTATTATTATTATTATTAATAATAATCTATAAATGTATTTAATTTTGAACTCTCTCCTCAAATCTTTAATAACTATAACAAATATATGGGTACATGACTTTCAGTGTTACATCATAATAACTGATGTAGACAAATATATGGATACATGAAATTCAGTGCTACATCTTAATAAGCGATAGGGGATATTTTATTGTATGCTGATTGATTGGATTGGTTGTGCATGTTTACCCATGGTTTATCAAATGCATTGTCACAGCCTTATAAAATACCTAATAGTAACTGTATACAGTCAAATAGCCACCATATGTGATCAAGTATCATGGTACCAGGAATTTTAGTACTATATTAATCTTTCAATATAGAAACATAAATATAAACAAGATAAGATAATCAAAAAGGCAACCGAGGATAAGCAAAAATTAGAATCTGTCATCAAAATAATTCATATTATTATTATTTTTTTAAGTTTACCGCTACGGTTCTGGGTGAACCTCATCAAGAATCCAGATGTGATCTTCGACATCCACAAATCTGATGCAGTTGATGCATGTCTGTCGATTATTGGTCAGACTTTGATGGACTCTTGTTCAGTTTCTGAACACCAACTTACGAAAGAATCACCATCCAGTAAACTACTCTATGCTAAGGATATTCCAAACTACAAGAAGCTAGTAGCAGAGTAAGTAATCATAACTACCGCTGTTCCTCTTGTATAAGATACACTATACCTGGGGAATCCATTTTCAATCCAAAGGCAATACTGTATTATATATTTTTCAGCTAATCTACTCATTTAAATTGTACCCTGGATTTTTGCTCGAGGAAAGGCTGGTACATAAAATTGGGCTTAGCATAGGAGGTTGGCTTATACTTGAGGAACCTTGTTTATAATTTGAAAATAATTTGTTTTCGGAAAATGCAAAACCAATAAAGAAATACCACATGTAGAAATTACTGAAAAAGTCAGAAAAATTTTTTAAAATCCAGTAGAAAATCAGTCATAAAATATTTTGGTCTATTCTTTTTTCTAGGTATTATAATGAGATTCAAATGATGCCTGTAGTCAGTGATCAAGACATGAACAAGATTTTGACAGATCACTCACTTAAACATAAATACGATTTCCATGAGCAAACTGCACTGAACGAGCTGTACTACACTTATGTGCGAAAATACAGGACAAACGTAAGTACCGTAGTGTCGTATAACTTTTCTAGAGCTTCTTCACAAATAAGGAATAGTATAACACACAATTTAAAGTGTTGACTAATGTTCTTGAGAGTGTTTCCTCTGTAAATGTAAATCCAATTTTATATATTTCATACATTCTTTCTACTTGCATAATTTATGGACTCTTCACTACTCAAATCTGATGCTTTTTCCTTTATATAAATATTTATCTGCCAACTTTTGTGTTACTTTTATGTGTTGCTTAGCTGTAAAACTGCATGTATTTTTTATTAAATTGCTAAAAGAAATGAAGAATTTGAAAGTATATAAACCAAAACAATATGACATTCTTACTTATAATGTACTAAAAATAAATTTTAAAATTATTTAATATCAATCAAGTATTCAGTTAATTACCTGTTCAGTCAAGCATTCATTCAGTGAGTCAGTCAGTCACTAAAACAATCCGACGATCAAACAATTAGGCAGTCAGTCAAGCCATGAGTCAAGTCAATCAAACATTATCAAACATTCAATCAAATCTGATCAAACAATTAGGCAGTCAGTCAAGCCATGAGTCAGTCAGTCAAACATTATCAAACATTCAATCAAATTTGATAGCCAATGTTGTTTTATTTGATTGATATTAATATACAGTAATACTGATATCAAGTTATTGGTGGAAAAAAAATGAATTTGGGATTCAATTTCTAAATAATACAAATTATGAAATAAAATTTGCTTTGTGGTAGTGCATGCTTGTTTTTCTTTTTTTTTTTTTTTTGCTTTACGTTCTGCTTTCACTCATTCCATTGTTTTGTTTAAATCAAAATCATCCTTATCCATATATGGGCATTATACAATTGTCACAATGTGGATTATTTGATGGGACAGAGTGAAGGAAGATGAAGGAAGTTTTTAAACATAAAACTTGGTTGTCTGGAAAGCAAAATAGCAAAATATACGCATGATTATCTATCAATCCTTGATAATTAATTACTACATTGGCAGTGATTTAATTAAAGATAAAATTTAGTGTACTTTTTAGAGCATACCTATATAACCTTTAGTGGTTCATACTTATGTACCTAATTTTCAGAACGTAGGTAATTAAAAAATAGATACAAGCTGTAATACCTACACATTGTTATTGCTTTTAAATACACAAATGGCACAATTTTAATTTGTCCCCTTGTAATATTCTGTTTGCTTTTTCATTAACATAATTTTTATTTTAAAATTATAATTAAATACAATATACAATACAATATTATGATGAAAATATAATACTTCACCATGAAATTGCACTCTCAGACTTTAAATTTGAATATAATTTTCATTATATCTCCATTTTTAAAAAAAATTGAACAATTTGGTGGGAAGGTGGGGGGGCCAGGCCAGCTGGCTCCCCCCTCCCCCTTGAATCCGCCGCTGAATGTACTCAGGTTTACCTCATAATTAAGACCAGCTTTAGCCTTAAGCAATACATCTATTAATTGTTGATTCATTAATGATGATTTTGAATATTTTTTTGGCCTGTTAGCACATCTGCCAATGTGAATATAAGGACAATTGCAACAAAAAAATGAAAAAAAATCATATTTTTGTCTTCAGCCTTAGCACACCTGCTGCCACCAAAAAATATTTCTGCCGCCATAAAGTCAAAGCAAATTTTATTTTTTCATCACTGTTAAGTAAATGTAGGGCATTCATCAATCCAAATTAAAACTGTTTACATCGCAACATATCTTTATTTATATTATGACCATGTGACAAGATTGTGCATGGGCTAAAGGGTGCCCTCTATAGTTTGGATTACCTCACTCATATTTTTTATTTGTCAATAAATTTTCAGTTTCTTTTGCCAAGAAAAAACATTTTGCTAAACATGATTCTCCTTCTTTCCATCCTCCTGAAAATATTTCTAAACATTTGCTAAATAAGTCTTTCATAGTTTCAACCTGAGACTTAATTAAATTGGCAAAGGAGATTGCATGTGAAAGGCAAACACAAAAGTTAGGTTCAAGGCTATACAGACAACCAAGTGAGTTTGCAAACCTTCCTTTATCATCTTTCTTTTCCCCCTCACAGATCATGTTGAGCCTTGAAGATGACGAAATTGCTCAAGAACACAAGCTAGGGTTCAAGCTCTCGGAAGTTGAACAAGCTATGGCAGACTCAAAATTATCCCATTAATTACAACCCATGCTGGCGATATTCAAAACTTTAGTTTGAACATTGTATGACACAACTGTCATATCCACCATGCCTTAACATGTTGGCTGCCATGCGAGCAGAATAGTGCTATTTAGACCTACATTACGCCACATACGAGTTACTGTTTTTGGATGTTTTTCGCATGAGCTCATAGAAATTAAAATACAATTGGTTTATGTTACAATATCTTTGAATGTATTCATAGCGGCGTACAGTATTGTTAGTACTGATATACTCGTAGTTAGCAGTCAGCGTGTTGGTGTTTCTTGATCTTTGATTGTTGAAATGCTCTCTTCGCAGATAATAAGCGGTCTAGAATCGGACGAGTTTGCCCAGAAGAACAAGCTTTCTTTCAAATTTGAACAAGTCGAACAGTTAATGGATGACTCAGTCGTATAGTTGATGTTCTTAAGATGACTTGTTAAAAGTATAGTTCAGTATGAGCATTTTGGGCATGTAATCTAATTTTACCTCTGTGGGTTGGAAGAGCTTTTATATCATCCAGAGCCATACCAAAAGATTTCAAAATAAAAAATTAAAAAATTAAAAATACAAAAAAAAATCCCAGATACAATAACCTCATTATAACCAAATATCCGTATGACTTTTAATGTGTTTCCCCTACACAAACTTAGGAATGTTTTAACTTAAATTTCAAGAACATTATTAACATTCAGTGATTTTGATTATCTTGTTTCCTTGATTTAACATGATTATGATTAGGCATTCGCATTTCCTCCCCAATTTTGAATGTATTTTTTTTCCAGGGAAACAAAATATGATCAAATTGATAAAATGTTTTCTAATGGAATTGTGCTAAAGATGTTAAGACATATAAATGCTGAAATATATTAGTTTTCATATGAACATTTATTTAAGTTCATGTATACATGAGCACTGATTATGATAACTCACAAGGTTTATATAACTGCTACTACATTGTATTTTTATTGTTGTTACTGAAATTGGACATCAAAATGTTGATAACTTTATATATTTTTTCACCATAGAAGTTTGTAAGTATTCAAAATCAAATCCAGTGATCACATCATTTTAGACAATAATTTTGGAAATAATTATATTCCATTGTGAAAACATTCAATTACACCCATATTGTTAAGGTCTGTCCACACTTTAAAATGTTATGTGACAAATGCCTGCTATTTGTCCATATTTGGGTGTATGACATCAGAATGCACATATATGGGTAAAGCGCACAGATTTGTTGCATACATTTTGACAGCTTTAAGTATTCAATGTTCAGTAGCATCTTGATAAATTAGACCAAACAATTGTTTAATTTGTTCTCTCCATTTTTTTTACAGAGATAAGTATAGAATAAAGTATAGAGTCACAACATTTTCTTTTATAAACATTGAATACAATTATTTTTATTTTTATATGAATTCAATAAAAGTAATTTCATCAATTTTTATATATACAATACATGTATATAACTGTTATTTGAATACTTGCTATAACAGTAATTCAAAAAATGAGAAAATTAAATGTATTTAGGCTGGAAACACGTTGAAATCAAATAACTGGATGACATTTTATTTCGTTTTTAAAGTTAGGTTTTTATAAAACTGAAAATAGCCATGATAATAAAATTCATAATCCATGAGTCAGTTCACCAGGTGTTAGGTCTCACTTGTGTGTCCTAATGTAAATTTATGTAAATTTTGTTTTTTCATAAGCAATCTATGCAAACACAGGTTTTTCTATTAATGTTGATTTCAATACAATATGGTAAACCCACAGAATCAAAGATTCTGGAAAGGGGGAAATTGTAAAGTGGGGGGTTTTGATAAACCATGCAACATAAGTGCCCTTGATTTTTTCCCTTTTTTATATTTTAGGTGTATAATTATTTTTGTTGAAATTTTATTCAGTTGTGTTCGTGACATGGTTTATATTGTTTATGTTTCTTGAATGTATATAGGGATGGATATAAGTTTAGGACCACAATATCGGTATTTCCAATTGTTGTGGGATATAAAATCATGGTCGGATGTTAATTAGCATATTATATTTCTTCTCCATGTTAATGGAAAATATCCATTAGGCTTAAAATAATGATTCTGATGTTTATGATAATTAATGAAGACAAAAAGGCAAGTAATTATATTGTCAGTAAAGTGAGTATGTTGATAGTACAACATGCCAACTTTATGAAGAGCATTGTTTGGTTTTTGACCAGACATTTTTGTAAATAGTAAAATAAAAAATGAATTAACATGTCAAATATATGAAAACAAAATATTTTCCATATTAGCATTCGGCATTCTTTTTTTTTTCTAAAAAAAATAACAGATTCTAAATTATTGTTTAATGAATTTGTGCTATGAATTCTCTATATATATTGTGTATCATTATTTACATAAGGTAGTCTTTCTTCAGCCATGTTGTATATATATATTTTTTTTTGGTTAATGTTCTAGTGAAGATGAGGGTAAGGTTGTTACATAGAAGTAGTATTAGAATAGACATTATATTTTTCTTTAAACAATAAATATGCTGAAACAGAGCCTAACCGTGTTTGTGATTCCGAAGAAGAAATTGGGAACAATGCCATAGTAAACGTTTTTTTTTGGGGTTTTTTTTGTATGACGTATTATATGCTATTTTTCGTTGAATTTAAGGTTGTTATTGAAACTGTCTTTGTAAATGTAAAAAGGTTAATTTGTCAATAGGGGGCGCCAAATACGAATAGAATCGCTTTCATATAGATTTACTGCTAATTTTGCAAGATCTCTACTTGTTGAAACACTTATTGTTCGGCAGACAAATCAACACTAAAAATACCAAACGATGGTCTGCAATCTGTTTTTGTGTTGTTTATTACGTTAACTTAGTATTAAACAAGGTTTTCCTAATATCAGTTGAATATGAGTTTCTTTATGGATTTTTGTATTGGTGTTTTAAAATTCTGTTTTGGATTTTCTTTTTTATAAATTGAGTAAAATTTCACAAACGAAACAAAGATATATTGCACATCACAAAGCGAGAAAAAGACACCAAAAACTGGCCAATCAAGCATTAAAAAAAAAAACCACCTAAAACTACGAATTGCAAAACATTGAAGCAGAGAGACAAATATTAAAAAGAATTTTTTTAAAGTGACAAGATGGACCAGACTTCCAAATATATTGCATAACAAATACAAATGTCATCAGTTACAGCATTAACAGGGCCAGTGGGGGACCAGGAGCACAGGACTTTCGTTGGAGAACCCTGAACCGTCATAGGTGAAAATCCAATCAACTCGTAATGAAACACTCCTTTGAAAGAGCTTTTATTGTACAGTACTGTCTAAAAGTGTCATTTCCGGGCTTCAAAATGTGCTATCATGACAATGAGTAGGTTTGAGGAGCGTATTGAATTGGGCTAAATGTAATATTCAATAAAGTTTGGCTCTGGAGCAAAAAAATACTGATATGTTTTACAACTGATTTTTTTAAAGACACATAAAGGTTGGTTGACGAAAATGAGATACAGGCTTTTAAATACTTAAGAACAAGGAGAAAAGGGGCGTAACCACCGTTTTTTATCTTTCCCAAACACCCATTGTTTGTCTTAAAAAGATGGTTATACAACTTTATTTTTTCCCGGAGCCTGGCATAAACCATCCTAGGTCTGTCGTCATGAAAACTGTATACATACGCACCATTAGGGTGTCTACAAGATAAAGGAGTGAGAGTATAGAAAACAAATACATAAATGATATGTCAAGAAACATTGGTATTAACGGCAAGTTGATAATGATCAACTTGCCGTTAATTTGTTTTACTATTGTTAAAGGAAGTACGTTACTCAATGGAACAGTCAAAATGTTCAAATTCCCGACCTGAGATCCGGGGGAGAAGTACAAGGTCCTCGTCACCAATAATTTCATTGGGGGGGGGGGTGGATACAGGCTTTTAAATACTTAAGAACAAGGAGAAAAGGGGCGTAACCACCGTTTTTCATCTTTCCCAAACACCCATTGTTTGTCTTAAAAAGATGGTTATACAACTTTATTTTTTCCCGGAGCCTGGCATAAACCATCATAGGTCTGTCGTCATGAAAACTGTATACATACGCACCATTAGGGTGTCTACAAGATAAAGGAGTGAGAGTATAGAAAACAAATACATAAATGATATGTCAAGAAACATTGGTATTAACGGCAAGTTGATAATGATCAACTTGCCGTTAATTTGTTTTACTATTGTTAAAGGAAGTACGTTACTCAATGGAACAGTCAAAATGTTCAAATTCCTGACCCTGTCTCTTATACACATCTAGATGTGTATAAGAGACAGGATAATTTCATTGGGGGGGGGGGGGAATTCTGTGTAAAACAATTTTTACAATATCTGGGAGTGTCATTTCTGGGTATCCTACCCAGCAGTGGTGCCACTGAATTTGCCAGCAAGTGGTCCGAACCACGGGCCAGTGAAGCCTCGATCGACGGCTTGGAATAAAACCTCCCCTGTAGGGTTCACCAAGAGAGTTTTGTTGGTTTAGTAGACCACAATATTAGGGATTGGCAATGAAAGTATTACTTTATTTGGATAGGCAAATTATTACTTTTTTTTAAATTTCTTATCCGACGAGAGGTGGTCCGGTCCGGTCCCCCCCCCCCCCCCCCCCGTTCTTAACATTTCTGTAACTATTTTCTGTAGTGATGAGGTGGGAGTGGACTACTGTGGGGGATATATTGGCTCCTTTAGTTGGGGAATCTCTACCACCGCCAATGCTGTGTCAACCATTCCTACCATCTATCAAATTCCTGTCCAGACTATCAAATTTGATTTGACAAATACATGTGACATGCCTAAATATGGTCAAGATGGCATCACATCATGACCATATATGGGCATACAACAGTAAATTTGATAATCTGGACAAGAGCTGTAGAGAAACACGATATCTGGATGGAATGAATTGGTTAATTGGAGAAAGAAACATGTTTAATTTGATTGGTGCAGAATTGGGCTGATGGTTAACAATTAGGGTTGTCGAGATTGGATGTTTTTTGTCGGGAAGAACTCCAATTTAGTACTTTTTACATCACAATTGAGCAAGTCAGCAAAATGGGTTCGCTCTCTCAATACTAGTGTTGAAAATAGAGAGTTGCAGTAGACCTGATAGACTTGGTACTTTGAGAAACTTTCAGTCGCTTAGCTGTAATTTATTACCCTTATTGAACGTACAGTATTTTGAAAAAAAAAAAGCTTTTGCAAAGGCTTAACAGTCAGTGGTGTATCTAGGGGGTACGCGGGGGTGGGGCGCACCCCCTCCAAAAATTACTTGCTCCCCCAGT